CTGACATGTTGAATGATTTCAAATTGTCATGAAACTGATACAGTGGTGTTTATTCACCATTAGTAAGGTACTGTATCAATTTCATAATGATCTGTATAGTAGATGTCATTGTCACATCCCTGTAGGTATCAAGTGCATCAGCCATGTACCATGTATGATATGGATGAATGTCAAAGTGATATTAATGTATTTAATTATCATGTACAGATGTATTGGAAGTGCATTGAAGTGGAACAGAATTCTCTCTTCAATGTTAGAATAGGTCAGTTGACAAGTTGAATAGTTAATTTCCTGAAATGATACCAAAGTATTTGAAATTGATATATATTGTTATTAACATGATATATAAGGTGATATATTGATTTGAATTGAATTTGAAATGTTTTCATTGATATTCTAATTGTCTAATCTATTATATGAAATTAACTTATATAAATCATTATAATGATGTAATATTATGTTATATTGTGATTATATATTCAATTTGGAGTATATTGATATATAATATATTGATTTATAATGAGTATTTATTGAGATAATCAATTAAGATGAATAAAAGTCAAAATATTGGGTCTGGCTTTGGCGTGGGTTTGGGTTTGGGTTTGGGTTTGGGTTTGGGTTTGGGTTTGGGTTTGGGTTTGGGTTTGGGTTTGGGTTTGGGTTTGGGTTTGGGTTTGGGTTTGGGTTTGGGTTTGGGTTTGGGTTTGGGTTTGGGTTTGGGTTTGGGTTTGGGTTTGGGTTTGGGTTTGGGTTTGGGTTTGGGTTTGGGTTTGGGTTTGGGTTTGGGTTTGGGTTTGGGTTTGGGTTTGGGTTTGGGTTTGGGTTTGGGTTTGGGTTTGGGTTTGGGTTTGGGTTTGGGTTTGGGTTTGGGTTTGGGTTTGGGTTTGGGTTTGGGTTTGGGTTTGGGTTTGGGTTTGGGTTTGGGTTTGGGTTTGGGTTTGGGTTTGGGTTTGGGTTTGGGTTTGGGTTTGGGTTTGGGTTTGGGTTTGGGTTTGGGTTTGGGTTTGGGTTTGA